AAGTGCTCCCATTCTCCAAGTTTCTTCACAATGGGTTAGCTCAGGCGTGGGGAACCTATGGCCTTGAGGTCACACGTGGCCTTCTACGTCCTCGGGAGCAGCCTTTTGACTGAGTCCAAGTTTGACAGAACATTCTTTTATTTTTAAGGGGATTTGTTCTGTGAAGTTTGGATTCAGTCAAAGGGCCGCACTTTGAGGACCTAGAGGGCCACATTTGTTCTGTGAAGTTTGGATTCAGTCAGAGGGCTGCACTTGAGGACCTAGAGGGCCACGTGTGGCCTCGAGGCCACAGGTTCCCCACCCCCGGTCACTAGCTCACTGATCATTGCAGCATGAGAGGGCACAAGGAAGGCTTTGGGTGATTCACAATCTTGAAAGATATTTTTTTTTTGCTAGAAATGTGAAAAAATTAACGACTTGAAATCCTCTTCAAGCTTAGAGCTTCTTTGAAATGAAGCCGCTAGGTAGCAGAGTGGATACAGCATGGGTCATGGGGTTAGGAAAAGTTTAAATCCTGCCTTAGACACTTATCGCCTTGTGACCCTGGGCCTGTTTTCCTCACTTGCTAAAAAATGAGGAAATTGGAATTGATGACCTCAAAAATGGCCATTTCAGATCTATAGCTATTATATTTTGATTTCAAAATGTTTTTTATCATTTCTTTTAAAATACATTTTCCTGATGTCTTTTATCTTGGTGTCATAGTCATTTCCCACCCACTCATCCCTTAGCTTAAACCCTGCCTTATGGTTAAAGAAAACATTTAGCAAAATACAGGAACATTGTCCAACAATATAGACAATAGTCTGTCCCAGTAGCCCCCCACCTCTCAGCTTCATCTCATCATGAGGGCCTTCATTAGTTTTTCCATTAAGTACTTTTGGTAATTTTTTCATTTACATTGTTGTTTTCATTATGTATAGTTTCCTTGGTGCTGTTTACTTAACTCTGCATCAATTCACACAGATTTTCCCACATTTCTCTGAATTCCTTATACCTGTCATACACCTGCTATTCCATTCCATTCATTTATCACAGTTCTTTACTTTATTTGTTTCCCACTTGGGCACCAAATTTGTTTTTAGCTCTTTGTTACCACAAAGAATGATATAATGAATATTTTGGTCTATATTGATCCTTTGTTTCTCTATTTGATTTCCTTGGGGAATCCCAGTAGTGGGATTGCTAGATGAAAGGATAAGGAAAGTTTAGTCATTTTTCTTGTATAATTCCAAATTGAAATCCTGAATAGGGCTACTCTGCAGGTCTACCAACAATGCATCAGTAGGGCCATCTTCCCATAGCTCCTCCAACATTGAATGTTCCCACCTAGCTTCTATGATTTTAAGAGCTCTCTCCCCCTCTCTTTCTCCCTCCCTCCCTCCTTCTCCTTCCTTCTCTGTCTCTTCTCTCTCCCTCCCTTTATTTTTCCTTCTCTCCCTCCTTCTCTTTCCTCCCCTTCTCTCCTTCCCTCCCTCTCCCCTTCTCTCTCCCTCCCCCACCCCGAGACCAGGAAAATCTCGCTTCCGAGAAAAGTGGTTGAAGGACATCGTTGAAAGCAAGATCATCCTAATGAATAGCATTAGCTTCTAATTTAATGATCCACTGTTGGTTTGGGGTTTTCAGGATTGGATTTCTGGTCCACGTGCACTAAATACAACATTACAAATTCAACCATGGAGTGTATTTTGGGAAATAAAGTTGTCAGGATACTTAGAATCCAGCTACCTGGAATTATTTTCCATTCTCTATGTTTAAACACACTCATAAATTTATCAGACAGTTGTTTCCTACTTCTCCAGACCATCTTCTCTACTAGTTTACATACCCCCCAGTTAGGGTCAGCTAGGTGGCGCAGTGGATAGAATATGGAGTAGGAGGATCTGAGTTCAAATTTGGCCTCAGATTCTTATTAGCTGTGTGACCCTGTGCAAGTCACTTAACTCTGCCTCAGTTTCCTCATCTATAAAATGAATTGTATTGAGGACAGTGGTACCTTTGACAGTAATGATGAAGTTAGGACATTCAGTTTGAGATTCTAGCAGGCAGCTAGAGATATGAGACTAGAGTCCAGGAGAGAGGTTAGGACCAGACAGGCTGATCTGAGAGTCATCAGCATAGAGAAGATAATTTATATGAGACCTGATGAAAACACCAAGTCAAGTAGTATAAAAAAGAGAGGCCAGGACAGAACTTTGTGGAACATTCATCGTTAGCAGGCATGACATAAGGATCCAGCGAAGGAGACAGGAGCAATTAGGTAAGTAGGAGAACCAGAGAGCAGTGCCACAAAAACCTGGAGAAGAGATTATCATGGAGGAGAGCGTTATCAACAGTGTCCAAGGCTACAGAGAGATCAAGAATGTTGGACTGAGACAAGGCCATTGGATTTGGCCATCAAGATCATTAACTGGAGAGAGTCATTTTGGTTAAATGTCAGAAGCCAGACTATAAAGTTAAGAGAGGAAAGGAAGCAGATGCCCCCTATTGTTGTCGGCCTTCTTTCTCAACGAGTTTGGTCAGAAAAAAAGATATAAGACAAGAGGTAGCAGAGCTGGATGGATCGTAAGGGATTTTTGGAAGATGGTAAAAACATGGGTCTGTTTGTAAGTAGTGGGGGAACAGAGTGACCAAAGATTAGTTAGAGAGTAGGCATGAGAAAGGGGTATCTGCTGAAGACGATGGAATGGGATGGCAGAGGGAAAAGATATTATGTGTAAAGTGCTTTACAATCATTAAAATCCTAGAGAAATATTTCATATTGATACAGAATTCTTCTGTCTCTAGTCAAAACCTACCTCCCTATCACTTTGACTACTTGGTTGTCTCTCTTCCCCTCTGAGGCAAAAAAAGAAACAAAAAACAACCCCAACTCAACAAAAAACCACCCTTCCTATGGTTTCAAGTTTTCTCTTCATCCTGATTTCCCATCAGCTTCTCAAGCCTTCCCCTCCCCCTCCAACACAGCTGACCTATGCAGTTGTTAAATCAATATTAAATAATTGCTGCTTTTCAACTCATCTACTTACTTGTTTGATAAGAAAGTTCATCCATCTGTAAAGTGCTTAGCACAGTGCCCCGCACATAGTGTTATATAAATGTTAGCTATTATTTTGAGGGACTGAGATCAGGACATTTAATGAGAGAATAAAGCATTTAGTGGACTTGAGTAAATGTAGTATCTTATACTAAATGAACAGGCAAATCAACAAGTCAGACTTTGACATTTCAGCCTCACCTACTCTAGGGTCATTAGGTAGGCTTTTTGGGTCTTATTTCTGGAGTACAGATACCATTTCACTTCTTGAATTTATGGATTTTCCCATTAGCCTAAGTGTAGTTAGGCTATTAAGATTAATTCCAGATGAGTAGACATCATTTCCAATTCCCATCACGTAGCATAGAGACTATGCTGTGTGTGCCGGATACCTGGTAGTGTGGGCTAAGTGGGCTGTGGACTAACTAACTAAGCACAGTGACCATCTTGGGGCAGAATACAAATGTTTGGCAGATACCAAGACAAGGCTTTGAAAAACCAGATGGTTAGTTACCTAATTCAGGATTGTAGGAAGCGCTATCTTTGCTGCCCTCAACAGCAACTCAAACCACCCAGAAACATGAAATTTGCTTTATTTGTACAAAAATAATCCAAACTCAATACATCATCAGTGGAGTCAATATTCTCACTTAGCTCCTGTTGGTACAATAAGACAGAGCTAAAATGGGAGGACAATAATGGTGGGTGATGATAAATCAAAATACCCAGCCGGTATTTCCCATTTCTTCCTCACGTCAAATAGCATTACATGCTTTTAAGTTGAATCTGTCTTCTTTATAGTCTATTCAGATATGGTTATTCTTAACAATGAAAACAAGGGGTTCCTCCCATATAATACAGTAGCTAAATAACAAACATTCATGAATAACAAATTTTATACTAGAGATCCATCTTCACAAAAGGGGAGATTTCAGTATTTGTAGGTTCAAAGATTCTAATATATTTTATTTGCCCCTAACATGCATATGGATCACAGTTGGAAACCTATTTCTTTGGATGCTATCTATTTGCGAGGCACAATTGAAGCAGAAATAATGTCATTACACTGGTATACGGGATATCTCAGGCTTTTAAAAATTAAAAGAACTCAAAGCTACTTAAAAAAAAACCCAACAACTGAGGTTAATAGGAGTTAGAGCTGGAATCCTTAAGAGATTTATTTTATGTATGAGAATTGTGAGGCCCAGAGAAAGGAAAGGACTGACCGAAAATTACACAGGGAGGAAAGCTGCATTCAGATTTGAATCCAGATTGAGCAGAAATCTCTCTTATTTGCAATTCAACTGGTCTGTTACACAAGGAGAGAAGGAACCAACGTTCACTATTCCTGGAATAAGCTCTAGCTTGTCCAATTATTCCAAACATTTTCAAATTCCCTATTTTCCCTTTGCAATCATGACCTCATTTTTGTCACCAACAATGGGCTCCTTCCTGTGTTTCCATCAAGTCTACTGAAAGCACATTTGAAATTAAGGAGAGGCTGGTTTTGTTAAACCCAACAGAGGATGTAATACATAGGTAATAGAAGCACCATCCTGCAGGGTGAGATTTACAGTTCTTTTGTCAAGCTGACCTTTGCCATGTCTCCCCCCCCAAAATGCACATTCATAGAATTACAGAAGGTCAAAGTTGAAAACAACCTTGAGGATAATCTAAGTTCAATCCACTGTGTGATTTAGGGCCAGTCTTTCACCTGAGCTCCCCAGCTCTAGATTTTAAGATCCCGAATTTTCATTAATTGGCACCCTTTGGGGACCAATTACGCCTATCCAAAAAGATCCAGAGAAAGCACCTAAATTCTACCAACAACATATTTGTGCAAAGGAACTAACTGTATAAAATAAATGGCACATTTATAAATACAAATCATATATATATATATACATACATATATGAGAGAAGAAATTGATACGAAGATTTTTTTTAACTTAAATTTCTGCTACATAACTAAGAAAATTCCTCATTTGTCCTCGTTCCCCTTTGAATTCTTATAGATGATTTCTCGGAAGTTGGCTAGAATCTTGCTTTCTCTCTTCCGTCTCTCTTCTTGGTTGAATGAAGCCAAGGCTCGTTTCTCATCAGCACTGTAGATCTGGTTCTCTTTACGGAGACGCACGGCCTCCATTCGATGGTGCCTAGAAAAACGTTGTAATATAAGCCCAATTCTACCCCTTCCCACTCCCAGCCAATGTTCTCATAGACTTCCCAGTCTTTCTGAATACCAAGTAGTCCATTTAAAAACACTGTGTCGGAAATAGGTTAGATTTGAAAAAAGCCAAGCTGATTTTGTGTCCTTTCTAGCATTCAATCCAACCCATCTTCCCTGAATCACTGATGCTCTGTCAGCATAACAAATACTACTTAGTCTTAACCACCAAGGGTACAAGACTGGTCTGGTGTTATCCGTAGTCTACTCTGGATAGCAACATAACTAGATGTCGGCAAATGGATCACCTAGGCAACCATGTCTCTGCTGGATCCTAACAGCAGGGCACATGAGGGCGAGCGTGCTATCAATCGGGCAAAACCCTGCAAGGCTCCAGTCCACTGAATAAGCAACAGCCCCTGTGGTTATGAACTGGACCAGGTACAAAGCTTCGATCAAAGAGAAATTCTGGCATGTAGGCTGGGGTAGTGCCTTGAAGAGAAGAAAACAGTGCACCATAAGGCTGGCCCTACAAAGGGCAGCAAGGATCTCTTATGGTCAGGAGGGCAATACCCAGGAACAGTCCTCTCAAAAGACAGAGTGGCCTGGGGGTTGCTGCTGGTCTCAAGGAAGGACACAGTCTGACACCCCACATATCATTAAGATTAAAACCGACCGGCTGTGTATGTATACATGTGTGTGTGCATGTACATATGCGTGTGCACAGGTATGTCACTGTTAGTGTATTCTCTGTGCCAGGGACCATTCCCCTGATTCCCAGAATGAAGTTTGGCCCATTTTGGACTGGTTCTCAATGACAGAACTTAACCTCCCCACCACACAGGCAAACTCAGAAATAGGGAATGTTCTTTGATGAAAGGGCACTTCCCCCATTACCAAAATGTTAGGATCCTCCAGGGGCAGACATGTACAGTTGTGCTCAGATAGATTCTCCCAGAGGCTAAGACAGCTATGAATATTTATCACATGGCAACTTAAGGACTAGAGAAAGACACTTGTAGGACGTGTTTTTATTTATCTATTTTTTTAGGCAATTGGGGTTAAGTGACTTGCCCAGGGTCACACAGCCAGTAAGTGTCAAGTGTTTGGTCTGAGGCCGGATTTGAACTCAGGTCCTCCTGACTTCAGGGCCAGTGCTCTATCCACTGTGCCACCTAGCTGCTCCCAATTTAAAAAAATTTTTTTAAGACATGTTTTTAGAGGAGTGATTTTGTTTGTAGTTTGAGGTCAAACTATTACACATAGAGCAGGTAGGTAGCACAATGGATAGAACACTATACTTAGAGTCAGGAAGACCTGATTTCAAATCCTGCTTCAGATACTTTCTAGCCTTTCAACCTTGGGGTACTTAATCTCTCTTAGACTCAATTTCCTCATCTATAAAATGTGGATAAGAGCACCTACTTCAGATGGTTGCTGTGATTGCTCAATGAGATACTTTAAAACATTATATAAACACTAGTTGTTATTGCTGTGGTCATTATAATACCAACAAACTAGGCATGTCTGTATTTTTTTATTCTATATCTTTACTTGGTGAAATAACTACCACTAGACCCTAAGTATTATGGTGTGTACAATACCACCTAATCTCCGAGATGGAATTCAATGTCAAGAACCCACCTGCTCCCACTCATGACATAGCCTGAGCATTCAAATGCTGCAATCTCTTCACTGGTCAGGCCAATTTCTCCTCTCCGAGGGATCCGCTTTCCAGCCTTCACATATTCAGCCATGGCTGCGCCTTCACCAGGCAACAGGGCATGACCGTAGCTGCAAAGAAATTAAGACAGGGATTTGTTGGTTAGGTCACCTCTGTATTCAAAGGAGAGATGGTAAACCGAAGACACAAGTCAAGATTTCCTTGAGAAACAACAGAGAAAGCAATGACTAGGGAGTAGGCAGCTTGGCCTAGAAATGCAGAGTTCCTCTGGGACAGACAAATGGAGGGATCATTATTACTGATTACAGACTAGTGTAGATCTAAATATTCTCCCCTCCTGATGATTTTGCTTCCAATTAATTCTTTCTTCATTGTTTTCCCTTAAAAAAAAAACCAAATCCTTAAATAGCATTTCTGAAATTTCCATTTATTTAACCCATGGTTGCTGGGCAGTGACCATGGGCCCCAGTGATAGCTCACTTGAAGTGGCAACTCACATGACCACCAAGAGAAGGCTTGAAAGGTACATAAACATTAGAAGCCTGACCATTACATTTTTTTCTTTTTTAAAATATATTTTTATTTATTTCATTAGATATTTCCCAATTATAAGTAACATTCATTTTTGGAAATTTTGAGTTCGAAATGCTCTCCTTCCCTCCCTCACCCCTTGAGAAGGCAAGTGAAATACAATTACACATGTAAAGTCATGCAGAACATATTTCCATATTAGTCATGTTGCAAAAGAAAACAAGAAAAATAAAGTTAAAAAATTGGGTTTTCTATTTCTACATTTCTACTGCTACTCACTTCAAAGGCTTGTCATCTGGAATAGAGTATACTTTGGGAGCTTCTGGTCCAATTAATCCCTCACTTTCTTCATTCTCTGCAAAAAGGAAAGAAAAAAGAAAAGAAAAAGAACACACATAAATATAAAGGTTACCAGTTGGTTAATTAAATATTTATTGAGCATATTCAGTCCACCAGGTAGAATATATTCAGGAGGTACTATTCATGAGTCCCTTATCATGGGAGCTTCCAATTCAGGGAAATAATGCCAGACAACAAGGAACAGCTTTGGGCCTTATGAAACTACTGGACACACCAGATTTGGGATGCTTGATGCTCCTAAACCAGGGATGGGGAACCTGCGATCTGAGGCCACAATGTGGTCTCCGAGGTCCTTAAGTGCGGCATTTTGACAGAATCCAAATTTTACCAAACAAAAAAATTTGGATTTCGTCAAAAGGCTGCACTTAAGGACCTCGGAGGCCACATTGTGGCTTTAAAGCCACGGGTTCCCTACCATCCTAAACGATCACCCCCATGCCTATGCTTACAAGTAGAGATTGATGAGAGTTGAACTTGTCATTCTGCAACAGTTGCCTACAAAGAACTTACTCAATGGTTTCTCCAGACAGGGATTTTCCAGAAATTTTTCATCCAAGTTTTGGCCTCTCAACTTAGGTGATTCTTTCTTGTACTTATATTTTTTATGCTTCTTTGACTTCTTCCTGTCATGATTATAATTTATTATGCACATTAAACATCTAGGAAAATCCATCAAGATGCAAGGAAATTTGCTTGTTAGACAAGTTGGAAATCTTGCTCATAGAATTAAGGCATCAGAGATCTAGAGTTGAGAGAGACTACCTACTCCAGGGCAGGGAACTGACTTGCCCAAGGTCGCACCGATGGTAACCATCCCAGGTAGCATTTTAAGTAAAGCACTCAGACTTCAGAACCAATTTCTTTCTATGACTAGGCTTCCCTTTCATATTTTAAATGATATTAAAATGATATTTCATATCATCTGAGAAAAACCAAATGATTTTCTTCTTTTTTAATAGTATTTTGTCTTTTCAAATTACATGTAAATGACTAATACAGTAATATGTTTTGCATGACTACACATATATAACCTATATCAAATTGCTTGCCTTCTCAATGAGTGGGGTGGGAAGGGAGGGACAGAATTTGGAACTCAAAATTTTACAAGCAAATGTTAAGAATTGTTTTTACATGTAATTAGGGAAAAACAAAATACTAAATAAATAAATAATAAAATCTAAATATATTAAAAAACAACCAAATTACATGTTAAAGACAATTTTTAACATTCATTTTTTTTAAAATAAAATTCTGAGTTCCAAATTTTCTCCTTCCCTTCCTTCCCTTCCTCCCTCCTAAGATGGTAAGCAATTTGATATAGGTTATATATGTGGATGTTTTTCTTCTTAACAACCAATTTTATTTGCCCTGCTTGACACAAGGGAGAAAGTAAACTACAAATGGGTTCTGGGAATTGTCAAAGAGAATCCATGACAGAATCCTCAGCTTAAGTATCCTATTCACACTGCTTGGTAAGTTTAACCAGGGCAGCTATGTGGTATAGAGGATAAAGCACTGGCCATGGAGTCAGGAGGACCTGAGTTCAAATGTGGTCTCAGACACTTGACACTTACTAGCTGTGTGACCCTGGGCAAGTCATTTAACTCTGATTGTCTTGCAAAAACAACAACAATAACAATAAATTGAGGTCTTTAAAAAATATAGTTTAACCTATTTAATAAAATCACAAAGATCCGTTCTCCACCCCCAACATAACAATCTAAGGGAACCTACAAAAGAGCTTTCATCCTACAGAAAGGTGAAATAAAGTCATTTCAAAGTCACTCTTACACATGACGTTTCTTCTTCTTTTCCTTCTTCTTCTTGCTTTTCTTGGACTTTTTGCTTTTCTTTGATTTCCTTTTCTCCTTTGAATCTGACAATTAAAGCAGATAATAACTAGGAAGTCACGACCTAAACAAGCCTTTGAGTGGGCATCGAGGTGTCACTGCGTTCATTTAAAAACAAGTAAGCAAATTAAACAAAAAACAAATCCAAAAAACCTGGGAAATAGAACAATTCCTGTCTCATCTCTTACAAAGGAGGAAATTCACTCATGGTAACTGGCAAAACAACAGAAAATGCACTCAGGGTAATGGATTGATATTAACTATGTTAGCAGAGGAAAATCAGTGACCTGTTTAAAAGCAGCTTTCTGAGAAAGTCTTGGCTAGGCCATCCTCCACAGTTTTAGCTACCCTGAGTTAACCATTATCAGATTTTTCAGTGATTCCCAGAGCTGGAAGAGATCCCAGAGATTGTCTAGTCCAACCCCCTACTGAAGCATGAAAGTCTCTCTCCAACAGCCATCCCTGAAAAGCGATCATCCAGCCTTCGCCTGAACACTTCCACTGATGGGAAATTCACTGCTTCCTAAGGTAGCCCATTTCACTCTGGGACAGCTCTGACAGTTAAGCAGTTTCTTCCTTATAAGATGGCACAGCAGTAGGACTGTATTGCAAATAACAAAAACATACATCAGAAGAAAGCAAACATATCAGGGACCCTCTTCTAAGTGACCAAAATTTTAGCTGAAAACCTCATTTGGGGAAGAAGCAAGGCAAGGTTGACTTTCTTACCATCATAGTCATCACTGTCCTCTGAGTCCTCATCACTGTCCTCCAAATGCTTTCTATGTTTTCTTTTGGATGACTTCTTCTTTCTCTTTTTCTTAGCTCTATCCTTGGAGTGACTAGACTTCTTCTTTCTCTTCTTCCTTCCCTCTGTACAAATATTTAAAGAGCATTAAGGGTAAAACTACTTAAGACATTTCCCAGGATACCCCTCCCCACATCGAACCTTCCCTTGAAACCAACAGCTAAGCAAAATCAATCAACATTGAGGCCACATCTGACTGGGTATGTAATATCCCATATCCACAGTTCCCCACCTCTCCAACAAAAAGACAGAAATGTATTTCCCCATTTCCTCCCCAGGGCCAAGATCAACTATTACAATCATTCATTGATTGGCTTCATTGCATTCTTTTCATTTGTTACTGGCTCTACTTTCTTCAGGATGCATCAGGTCACAGACATCCTCTCATGTTTTTCTGAATTCCTGATATTCGTCAACGTCAAAACGAACAATCTTATTCCACTCCATTCATTTATATGCTACAGTCTGTTCAGCCAGTATCTACTTTGTTTACCGTTCTTTGCTATTGCAAAAAAGGCTACTATGGATATTTTGGTATATAGAGAGCCTTCCTGTGTGATTTCCTTAGGGGGTCTATGCCTTAGCAGTGAGATATGTGAGTGAGACCAATCCACGGCTCTGTCGAGTGTTAGTGCGCCTATATTCCCGCAGCCCTTCCAACTTTGACTATTTCTGTCTTTTGTCAAATTTGTCCTTTTGAGGGGGGTGACATGAAGGTTCAGATTTGCCTTAATTTGGAGTAGTCTTCCATTGGCAAATAGTTCTTGGGCTTACATATTTGGGTTAATTCCCCATATCTCTTAGATATTATCCCTTTATCAGAGATGCTTGTTGCAAAGTTTCCCCCATGGGAGTTTCTTTTTTCCTATCTGTAGCAATTTTATACAAAAGCTTTTCGATTTCATGTAATTGGAATTTTCTATTTTATCTTTCGTGATCACCAGTATCTCTGGTTTGGTTAAGAATCCTCCCCCTAACCAGTTTTGAAAGGCGCTCCCTTCCATTTTCATCTAATTTGTCAATGATGAAACCTTTAACATTTAGGTCACATATCCATTTGTAACTTAATGTGGTATATAGTATGAGATGCATTTATCTACCAAATTGTTTTCTAGTTTTTCCAGCCGCTTAGCAAAAGCAGTGAATAACTGAAAAATGAAAAACAAAAGGAATGAATAATTTTTCCCCAACTAGTTTTATGTTTTTAAGATTACTGAACAATGGAGCTAATGAATTCCATTGTTTCTGAATCTAGTATGTTCTAATGACTTACTTTTTATTTTTGACAAGTACCAAACAGTTTTAATGATTACTGCTTTACACTATAGTCTGAGATATGGAAGTGCTATTCCTATTTTTTTTCATTTCCTTTCAGATTCTTGATCTCTTTTTCCTCTATATAAATATTACAATTATTTTATGTTGTCTAGTTCTATAAAGTAACCCCTTGATAGTTTGATTCCTATATCACTAAATTTGCAAATTTAGGGAGCATTCTCATTTTTATTATATTAGGAGGGCCTAGCCTTGGACACCAAATAATCTAATTATTTAAGTCTTCTCGTTTCTGTAAAGAGGATTTCATAATTGAATTTAAATTAAGTTGCCAGCGTGTTGACCAACCAACTCCCAGATACTTTACGCATTCTGTAGTTATTTTGAATATGATTTCTCTATCATTTCCCTCCTGGTTTTTTAAATTGCTAAATGAATATGTTGATGATTTTTTTATTTAATATGAGTACTGCTACTTCATCGAAGCTATTTATTATCTCAGCTTCTTTCCTGATTCTCTGAGGTTTTCCTAAGTAAACCATCATGTCATCTGCATACAAGGATAACCTTGTCTCCTCTCTGTCTATCTTTATGTCGTTAGTTTCCTTTCTTTTTCAATGAGATTGCCAACATTTCTAGAACAATGTCAAATAATAGGGGTCATCCTTGTTTTATACCTGTATTTACTGTGAGAGCTTCAAGGTTGGAGTGGCACAAATAATGCCAGCTTTTGTTTTTACATATTTTTATTATTAAAAATAGACTTGCTCTACCTATTCATGTTAGAGTTTTAAAGCATAACTGATATTCTATTTATTAAAGTTTTTTCTGAATCAATTGGTTTAATTGTGTGGTTTTTGTTCTTAAAAAGATTAATCATAACGGTTTTTCCTAATGTTGAATCATCCTTACTTCTGTGGAATAAATCCAACTTCATCATAATAGATAATTCTGGAGATATATTGCTGTAGGCTTTTTATTAATAACTTGTTAAGAAATATTTCTGATTTTCAAAATCTATTGCTTTACTATTCACAACCTTATCCACACCATCCAAGAAAAAAAAAAGCTTTGTCATTAAGCAAAAATACCTTTGAAATCAGAAGTATTTTTATTAGATTTTGTCTCTTCCTCCTCGGGAGTGTTCTCATCTGAACTAAATGTAAAGAAAAGAGTTGCAAAAATTAGAAATGTGATAAAAGAAAGTGTTTACTGCTTTGCTGGATCTATGATCTGCGTGGATTCATGCTTAATTCCTGACCAGTCCATCTCCTTTTTGATATATTTTGAAAAGTCAACTATTTCCCAATAAGTGACATCATTCCCCCTTTCTCATTAAAAATAAGTTAATTAAAACAATTCTAATATAGTGATTGGGACATACATAACATTCTACTCTTATAATTTACAAGTTTTTAACAGAAAGCAAAGAAAATGTATTTTAGCTTCAATCTGGGATTATTTATCCTGTTGTTATGAAATCTAGAAAAAGAATACAATTTTCTTCCAAGTCTACAAAGGGCATGAGACAGTAATATCTGTTCAGCTCCCCAAGAATAAGGGGAGAGTAGCTTAAACTGCAACATAAGGTATTTAGGTCAGTTTTAAGAAACTTAAGTGGAAAGGAAGGAGGAAAGGATTGAAGAACCATTTCAAATTCATAGAATGCTGGAACTGAAAGGGGCCTTGGAGATTATTTTGTCCACTCCTCTTTCACAGACCTAGAGGGGAAAAGAAACTAGTCCATTGGTCCCTTGGAAAGTGACTCATCTATCTAGATGATATGCATGATCTCCTCAGAAGGAATGGTTTAATTTTATTTATGCAGGAGAACAGGGATGAGCTTCAGTCAAAAACTGAAGGAACTCTCAATGGTCATTTCATCCACCTATTTACCCCACGCAGAAATGCCTCTCCAGCAAGTGGTCATCTGACCTTTTTTATGAGGAATTCACTGCCGCCTCCCAAAAGCAGCCTGCTTCAGCAGTTCTAGTTGTTAGAAAGTCCTTCCTGACGTGCATTCAAAAATCAGAGTCTTTATCATTTTCTACCCATTGGTCTTTGGTTCTGTGTAGCCTCCAAGGGCTCCTTCCTGACCTCTATGAATGCAAGTTCCCTCAGCCTTTAACAGTCTGGAATTTTCTGCAATTATCTACCAGGGCACATTTCTGGTGATGCAACTCCATCAGGCATCAGGAATTACGAGCTCACTGGTTACAAACACTGCTGCAACTCAGCAAAGTGAACCCAGATGTGCAAGAAAAAGAGAACCCCAAAATGAAGACTATCGCTAGAGGAAACATGGAAAAAAGAGAAGAAACAGCTTAAGACTGTAAAGAGGAGCGTATATAATATAATTGATTCACCAGAAGGACCATTTGCTCCCTATTAAAATTCATTTTGTGACATCCATATATGACATATATGTTACAGCTAGGCTATGCGAAAAGTAAAGTCATTGCAAATAGTTAGCAGTTTTATATTAAATCTTGCTATGAATGAGAAATCAATGTCACATAAACACAAGAGTGTTTAAAGAATTAATGTCCTATTTTCACTAAAAAAAAAAAATGCTTTCATTCTTAGGTCAGTTCTACGACATAAAATTTAGGAGGAAGGTAATATGGAGCCCCAAGACAGAAAGTAAATCATGAGATAGGTTTGAAGCTTTTCATTTAGCTAGCAAAAAAAATTCTCTCATTTTTACATGTAATTATGGAAAATAAAATACTAAATAAATCATTTTTTAAAAATATGACTACATAAAAAAATTCTCTCTTAAGACAGCTTCAGAGTAAAAAAGTCTAAGATACTCTACTTTTGCAAAGGGAAAATCACTTACTCTGGTTCAGGAGTTTTTGGAGAAAGTCCCCAAACTTCAGGAGCCCCCAGTTCTCCAATTCTCTCTCTCTCACTTAATCTCCTAGAAGATATAGGAATCTAGATTAAGTAAATATATTGTACATATTTCTAAATCAGTGGTCTCCAAAACACATACTGCCCACTCCAAGGTGTAATCAAGCAA